CCCGTGTACATTTGAGCGGATTGCTCAGAGCTCGCCTTAATTTATGCAGGAACTTTTTACACATGATCTACCGGCAACAACCGCGAAACATCGAGGGAACTCACAATAACGCGGGATATGTACACTCTCTAGTTAGCGCAATCAATAAATCGTCTAGCCAATTTTCATTAATGGCAGCTTTTACCTTTAGAGGGTCTGGTGTCGTGGGGGCAGGAAGTTCATAAGTCAATTCGCCACAGGTCGTTTATCGAGGAGCGGTGTAGCACAAAAATTAGTCTATCAACTTAAGTTTCACCAAGAATGCGTTCACTTGGTTTTGCTGCTTGTTGTACATTGGTTGAACGAAAGCTGGTTTTGTGGCATTTTGACACGATTTGAAATCATGAGCACCCATGTTTTCTACTATGATGGCCCAGATCGTGGCACTGAATATGATAATGGGCTGTGCACTCGCGAACAATGTCAAACTTCTGGCTCATGGGCGTGGTGATACGCCTAGACGCAGTCTCACACTGCACTAGCCGCCTTTGCCCAATACCGCCCTGGGGTCTTCTTGGCTCTAACCTGACACTGGGCTTATGGTGTGGAGGGACGAGAGAGTGATTTAGATGCCTCGAAAGGCTACGCTTATGGTATATTAATCCACTTGCAAGTACCCGTCTCTGCATTCACCCTGATGTGCGGGACAGGGTGCTTATCGTCCGCCATTGGGAGGTTTGATCTGCCTGCCAAGGTTTTAAACTAAAGACAGGTTTCAAAATTTCCTCCAGACTTATTTGCTGCCCTATTTTGCATGGATGAGTAAATATACACTCTTGCTTCTCCCTTACCTTGACTAATTAGCACGATTTGGCGGCATAGTACTTGTTTATATGTTAGATAAATTTATTCGCAAGCTGCATTCATCTCCATGCCCTAGTTCAGGATGTTCTCAGGAATACAAAAGTGAACTTGGATTGGGACTTAAAATTACCCCTGTTGAGTGACTTGGTTAGTGTACGTCGCTGAAATGACAAGGACACACAACTTCTTTGCTTTAATGTACATGTCTATTGCACTTAGATTTTACACTTTGTTTACACTACATTCACCTATATATACGCAAAATATTATTCCATCATCTTTTGAATGGACTATAAATAATTAATTTTGCTTAATTCCATACAAATTGCCAAATATTAGATAACAGGATTGGGACCTCATTACGCAAAATACACTAAAACGTACTTCTTAAAGTAAATTCCAGACAGACTCTTACTTTAGATTTATCAAAATAAAATGCAGAACTCTGTTCATTTTAATCAATACTTCAGCTTTGTTCCGGCTAACTTTGGTACTTAAACAGGAAATAATAGACTGTTAAAGGTTTTATGAATTTTCATGAATTCACTCGCTACAGGAATTGTTGATGGAAAAGCTTTAGTTACATGTTCTCTTCAACATTCGGTCAAATGAGTCTCATGGCCATGTTTATGGATTTTGCTGTCGTACAGCCTTTTTGTAACACCTAACATTTTATTTGTCAATGTACCTCTTCAGAAATATTCGGCTGTGTTTTCTTAGTGTTATTTCTTGAAAGGAGCCTATAATGCTTAATTCCGGTTGATTTACATCCCGTTACCTATAACTTTATGCAGAGATTGTTAAGAAAGACAAAATTATCCACCCATTAGGGCATGCAATATCTGCATAAATCGTCGATTGGAGTTCATGGACGCCTGAAGTCCACGAACTGTGTCATAAATGGCCGATGGGTATTGAAGATAACGGATTATGGAATTCCGAGAGTCTTTGCGCTTTTCAACCACACATTGCGACCTACTCCTGAAGGTAAGCCTTTTAAATACAAATTTGTTGGTCCACAACTTTTATGACTTCAGATTTTAGACTCTACTCCTTGTAGGCTCGTAAGTGAGACAGTTAAAACGAACCATACCTTTGTATCTGCTGCTTACTGCCTACAAGGGATTACGTCCAGTATGATAAATTGAGCTGACCTTGTAAATAAATGCTCAATATACTTTCAGAAGTGGGTTCTACCACTTTGTTGGCATTGAACGTTAATGCAGGCCTTCAACATAAAGGAATGCTGAAGCTGAATATCTGCTGCTCCGATCAAGGAAAACGCTCAGACTCTAAGTCTCAACCATAGGACGGTGATCCAGATCGAATTATTATATTACCGGTTTTTTTCTCTATACCAACAGTGGCCAAATTAATTGATTTAAAGGAGTTTAAAGTAATAAAAAGGGAGCCTCTGCGCACTGAAAACGTCTCTTTTTTCAGTTTCCTCCAAGCTGTGTTAACTTTACAATGCAAAACCAACTGATATGTTCAGAACTTATATGGATTTTCTCGGCTTAGCGAAAAATTTGCCTTTTACAAGCCACGAGCGTTGATATTCGATGAGGAGATTCGACTTTCCCTGTTTGCCGGATGCAAATTAGTCTTATATTCGTTCTTGTCAAGGTTATTCAACAGCACTATTTGGATGCCGAATATTAACATCAGTATGTTGCAGGCTCGTGTTGGAACCAGTAAGAGAATATGTGATAATTGACCGTATTCGTGTCTACGCTCAGCCCAGGCCCAGTTTCTACTTATGCCTTCCCGTCGGATCATGAATAGCGTCCCACGTCGGCTTCATGCCGTCCGCTGGGCAGTAACTGTTGTTCGTCGGATCATGGCTAAAATGAGGTATTTATCCTAATGGCGGACAAACTTCGATTCACTTTTATTCCCTTAAGAGCGGCTCGTCGATAGAGCAAGATTAACGAGAGTCGGTGGTGTCATCGAATTCAAACCGACAGAAATCTGACGTGGTCGAAAAAAGCGTAAAAGCACGACCACGAAGTTTCGGCATACGACTAAATTCATCAAAACTACTGTGGCATGGTTGTAAATTCATGGAAAAGAAGGGCCGTTTGGGTCAATCGCCTCATTTCTGTTCCCGTTCAGGCGCATGATCGCAAACAGCAATCAACACAGGAGCAGCACGGACTGATGGGCTGACATCATCCATCGACCCACTTTTCCTTAAGGTACTATCCGAAGGTCTTGGATTAAAAATAATCAGCAGTCCGGTTTGTATAAACAGTATGCTCAGGGCAATAACCACCACACCACAGGAAAACCCGTCGAACGCACGGAGTATTTCTACAATTAATTTTGCTGATAGTTTCCACAATCCCATGGTTGATTGCTGAGACGTCCTACAGAAAGAATTTTCCCATGTGAAATTCCGCGTTTGAAGCTCACCCTGTCAGTTTCCCACTCGTCAACATCGGTCAGAGTAGGGATTGTGTTCCGTAGAAATGACCGAACCCTTTTCTCTCTTAGTTATACATACGCTAGAGGAGGACGACAAGAAGATAGAATTTCACTTTTTAAAAGTCCTGGGCTATTGTCACACGGGTGGCCAGATGCCTACAAGGCTCGAATGGTGTCTGTCCGTTAGGTTCGTGTAAAACGCAGACAAAACAGTCCGGAGCGCACATGAAGTGGAACTTCCATGCTCTACTGTTGCGGGTCAAGGATGTCGAGGTTGCCACACACCTAAAAGAGCAGTTCACCTGTATAGGGCTCTGGATGTAACGCCGAACGAGGTTGTTAAACACCACAACACACAAATGAATAGGCATGTAGAAGAATAACGGGATGGTGAGGACTAAGATCTGTCGATATAAAGAACCGGTAAACAGTAAAAAGGAGTAGGATACGATAAGAAAGAGTACTGAGGGACTGTACACTCGATCAATTTAGAGTGAGGGGTGAGCACAGAATACCAGTCAGATATCGGAGGGGAGTGCAGCGCTGTGGGCAACTGCGGGTGAGGACCGTGGTGGTGTTGATGGTGGGGAGACAACGACACGATACGTTATGGGGGCGGGAGAGTAGTGTCAGCAAAGGGAATGAGAAGGAACACCGGCATCTTCACCAACAAACGTTCACACCGTCCTCACCCGGATCCGCGCCATAATTGATCTTGGTACGTTCAAACACCCATGGTTCGGGCTGGTTCGTTCCACTACCACTTAAGTAAGAACTGATTACAGCCCAGTATGTACGGAAAAAACATATTTAAATCACATTTGGAACCTCTGGGGGCCATTGGTCTTCTGCGACTTTCCTGCTTAAAAAGTAGAAAAAGTAAGCGCACCTTTTGCGTGTTGTTTTGCTCTTACGCCTGCAGTAATATCACTTCCAATCAATAGGGAATTTTGACTTTTTCCAAGAGAAACTACTAAGACGTGAGACACTACGATGACGAATAACATTTTTGGTTTATTTGTAAAGTAGTGTTTTATGAAGATAATCCTCATATGTATGTCCCCCTCTATCGCCTACCAAACCGTTTGCGTTTTGTCAAACTTAGAAGAATTATGGACTGCTCCAGAGATCCTGCGCAGACCCGCGGACTTCCCGACAGGTTCAAAGGAAGGTGATATCTACGCATTTTCAATAATAATGCAGAAAGTTATCTCTCGTGATGAACCCTACGGCGA